TAGCCGCTGCTTCTTCCGCAGCTTCTACTGCTCCGTCAGCGCCTTCTGAGGTGTCGTCTCCTGAACAGCCAACTTTCTCTTCAAGAAGTGCATCATTGCGAGGTTTGACACCTCCAGCTGCTCAGCGAGCTGCGGCTTCTACTCCTGCTGCGCCTGCTAGTGCAGATTCCGCTGCACTGGGGTGTCTTGTCGTACTTGCAAGTGAGAGCGCTTATTGTCAGAGTCACCAGTCGCAGGAACCGAGTGCTGCAGAGATAACTCAATCAAGGGGAGCTAAAATACGGGCTAGGCACGAGGTGGGAGTGATCTCTACGTTCGTTCGTTCCTTCGTCGTTTCCAAGTGTTAACACTACTTGCTAGTTGACGGGGAGAATTGGCAAGAGTTTCACTAGGAAAAACATGACAACAATGGTCCAGAATGATAGCAACAAAGTTGGCAAGACTAACTACATCAAATCTAGCATCCAAGCAGGACGACTGCCAGCGCAACATGGTCGACCACGATCCAGCACAACATGGTTGACCGCGCTCCAACACTGCAAAGTCGCGGCCCGCCAATGATGAGAAACGAGAATGAATGCATTGAGCAGAATGAGGAGTACAAGTGGTAAACCCTAAAGTGTTGTACCCCATATGAACTACCCCACTACAGCCTACACAGACCATAGCATATATGCCTGACACACCCCCATAGGCAAAGTGGGGGAGAACAAGGGGTCACAAGACCAGTCAAGCAAAGCAAGGCAAGCTCAGGGTGGATCACAACGTCACCACACAGTCCGAGCACAAGAGCAAGGCCAAAAGGCCAGTTCACATGCAAGATCATATATAAAGGTAAACAAGCAAGTGCAAGTATAGAAAGATCACAGTACAAGCAAGGTCAATAAGTGACAAGTGAGGCCAAGTAGGCACAAGACCTAGCATCGTACAGAAGCGCTGATGATCACAAGGCGGAAGTGCCTTGGTAAAGATATCAGCAGTGTTGGCCTCAAAGGCCACGTAAGCAAGGTGCAGCTGACCACGCTGCTGCAGCTCACGAGCAAGGAAGTAGCGAAGAGCAATGTGCTTCGTTCTGTGCTCCAGTCTGTGCTCCCGACACAAGGCCAACATGGCCTTGTTGTCTACGTACAGAACTAGAGGAGAACGAGGCGGCTCTCCTAGGTCAGTCAGCAGGTAGGTGAGCCAGAGTAGCTTCTGTGCAGCCATGGCCCCCGCGTAGATCTCAGCCTCACAACTGGAGCCGAGAACAGAATACGAGCGGGTAGACCGCCACGAAACAGAGCCGGAGCCAAGGCTGAAGGTGTAACCCTATGACGACCGCTGCGTAGCCTGGTTGTCAGCCCAAGAAGCGTTTGCGTGACCTGTGAGGACCACTCGACGTCGCCCTCCAAGCACTAGCCCCATGCCCGACGTACTTCACAAGTAGCGCAACACCCTCTTCGCTGCAGCCATGTGCTCTGGTCGGTGTCTCCCAGGAGAAACATAGCATGCCAAGATGCTAAGAGGGTATGCTAGGTCAGGTCGTGTGCAGGTCATCAGGTACATGAGGCAGCCAACAAGCTCTGGGTACGGGCCACTCGGCTCTACGGACTCATCCGAAGGCAGAGCTGAGAGCGAGTGGCGGGTACACAGAGGAGTGGCCTGAGGCGAGGAGTACGTGAAGTCGAAGCGCTGAAGGACCTGCTGCACCATGTGTGACTGAGTCAGGGTAATGGTGCGCTGTGCTCTGTCCCAGGTGATCTGCAAGCCAAGGTAGCTGCGCAGTTCACCCAGGTCTGTGCACGTGTGTCTCTTCTGCAGCTCGGAATTCACGTGGGCGAGTCCAGCAGTGTCAGCAGTGGTAAAGACCAAGTCGTCGACGTACACGAGGATGTAGAACGGCGGCAAAGAGTTGTCTGTGCGCAGAAACAACGACAGGTCGGCTGTAGAAGGAGCAAACCCAAGAGCCGCAACTGTAGCCCTCAGTGTGTCGTGCCACTCACGGGGCGCCTAGCGGAGACCGTAGACTGGCCGCCGGAGGCTCCACTTTGTACCAGGAGGAAACGACCCAGTGAAGCCAGGTGGGCGGCGCAGCCAGATCTCCTCGCGCAGGCTGCCCTGCAGGAAAGCAGTGCTGAAGTCAAGAGAGTGAAGCTCGTAGTCGCGCTGAGCGGCTATGTGCAGCAGCACCCAAAGAGTGGTCATCTTCGGGGTGGGAGAGAAGGTCTGAAAGTAGTCAACTCCCTGCCGCTGACTGAAGCCTCGAGCCACGTAACGCGCCTTGAAGACAGGCGGAGAACCCGGCGGCCGCTTCACCCTGAAAATCCACATGCCACTGACGATGTTCGCTCCGAGTGGGGGAACCTCGTCGACATAGGTGCCTGTGGACTTCCAGGAAGCCATCTCTCCGTCCATGGCTGACTGCCACTGAGAGGAGTAGGGACCCTCCATCGCGTCAGCATACGATCGAGGAGTCGGGATGTCTGGTGCATCCGGGTCTCCCTCAGGGGCAATCAACGTGAACACGAGATGAGGCAAAGCAACAGCAAAACACTGGAACTCCTCCTACCTGTCCTCAAGGACGTCCGTGCTACGAGCACACCCAACCCCGATGGACGGAGGACAGACAAACTCGGACTCAGCAACAAGACTAGTGGCGTAGTCTAGACGACAGCGAGCAGCGAAGTCGACAAGCTTAGCCACTAAGGCAGACGCAGCAGTGGACTCAAAGGAAGGGTTAGTGACAACATTGGCCAGGAGACGCGTGACAGTAGGACTCGCAGCACGAAGAGAGTCAGACCCAGGGCCAGGAAGGACAAAAAGAGAGGACTCTGGAGGAGACGGCAACGGGACACGCAGAGGAGCAGTGGAAGGACGCAGTGCCATCTGGTGTGTGCCCGGAACCGTAGGAGGACGCGAACGCGGAACACGACGACTAGTGCGAGCAGTGCGAACAAGCGACGCAGGACGAGACGCACGCTCACGGCGCTCAGCAAGACCTCCAGTAGGACCAGTGTAGGGAGAAGGAGCAGGTAGAGGGGAGGCGGGCTGTAACTATGACTGCGACTGGACAGGCTGTGGACACTCTAAGGGAGGAGCAGGACCAGTAGAAGGCGGGAGACTAAGAACCGGCTCAAGGAGCGGAACGAAGTACGGCCGCGACCGCGCAGCGCCTCCAAAACCAGCAGGGACAGCACAAGTACCCCCAGTGGCAGCACCAGCGCCAGCAGCACCTCCAGCTCCAACAGCGCCAACTCTAGCACCCTCAGACGCACCAGCGCCAGCAGAACCACCAGCGCCAACACCCCCAGCAGCTCCAGCTCCAGCAGCACCAACTCCAGCAGGACCGGCAGCTCCAGTACCGCCAGCAGCTCCAGCCCTAGCAGCACCCCCAGGCCCAACAGCTCCAGCACCGCCAGTACGAGCACCTCTGGGACAGTAGTACCTCCAGCAGCATCAGCAAGGCTCCAGCACCGGGCAAACCACTCGCGCAGCTCCTGTGGAGAGAGTGGCTCCCGCCTCGACGAAGCACCGCCGGCGGCCACACGAGCAGACCCAGTGCCCCCAGGCTCCGCACCCCCAGGCTCCGCACCCCCAGGCTCCACACCCCCAGGGTCAGCACCTCCAGACTCAGCACCCCCAGACTCATCACCCCCAGTCTCAGCACCACCAAGCTCAGCACCCCCAGACCCGGCACCCACAGGCTCAGCACCTCTAGCAGCAGTAGAGTCAACAGCTACCTCGACAGGCTCGACTCCGTCTACTTGGGACACACCTGACGAGGCAGGACCCTGAGGGGGGAGGGGGTCAACCGGGGGAGGACCTGGTGCAAGGAAGAGCGGCGGCGGGGGAAGGGGCGCGGCGCGGTAGGGGAAGAGACGGTAGTAAGGCACCGACTCGTCAAAGGTGACGTCTTGGGAGGACAGAACACGGCGCGAGGTGGGGTGGTAAAACTGCAAACCAGGCGCATCAAGGGGGAACCCAAGGAAGACGCAGGGAACAACACGGGGGGATAGCTTGTCCGCAGACAAGTCGCGAACAAACGCCCGAGATCCCCAGACCCAAAACGCAGACGAATCGCCAACCTTCCCCGTCCACCGCAAGGTGGGGGAGGTTTTTGGCAAGGAGACCGTGGGGTGAAGGTTGAGCTGATGCGCCGCGTACTGAGCCGTAAACGGCCACAGAAATGGGGGGCAACCGCATGAATCATGGACGTACGAGCGACGTCCATGACCATGCCAATGCGGCGCTCAGCAATCCCATTTTGCTGTGGAGAGGCCGGAAGCGTGAAGGTCTTGCGGATGCCCTGTGCACGACAGCAGGCTCACTGACGGGCAGAGGAAAACTCCTCGCCTCTGTCAGATTGCAGACGCAGAACAGGAAAGTCGGAGCCGAAACTCTCTCTGAGCTGGAGACGAGCTGCGCGGATCCAGTCGATCAACACCTCAGTGACGTCACCCTTGCTGCGCAAGGGGAAGACCGTGGTGTAACGGGAGTAGTCGTCAACCACCAACAGGAAGTAACGCTCGTGACCCTAGCCACGAACGCGGGCGCGGCCCCACACGTCCATGTGAAGAGTCTGCAACGGAGCCTCTGTCGGAGGAAACTCGGAGGAGTGAGGGGCGGCGCGCTGTCGCCCCTTAACGCAGGGGACGCAGGTAGGGGGAGGCCCCGGAGGTAGAGGAGGGAGAGACCGGGGGAGACCAGAGACAAGGACACGGGAGGCCATACCTCGGAGACGAGGCAGGGAGGGGTGACCAAGGCGGTGGTGCCAAAGGAGAGTCTGGTGAGACAGGAGACGACACGAGCAGGGAGCAGACTCAAGACTAGACCTGGACGCTGCAACAAACACCTGACTCGACGCAGCGACCTGACCAGGCTCAACAACCGGAGGAGACTCAGTAGTCAGGGTGTACAGGCTCGACCTCGGCCGACGGGTGAACGTGGCCAAGTGTCTGCCTATCCGAGCATACGTGCAATGGGTCACCCGCTGACTCGCAGGAGTGAACTGGTCAACCCCCCTATCCTGTAGATCAGCGCCACTTACCAAGTTCGTAGAGAACGAGGGGAGGTAGAGACCTGACAGGGTGCCAAAGGGGGCTGCCGGACACGGTAAGACAGTGGAGAAACGAGCAAGGACAGGACCCCCAAAGGGGTCCGCAAGGGAGACCGCAACCGGCCGACTAAGCGGCGTAAGTGTGGTGCGGTCTCGAAAGAAGGAGAGCACTAGCACCTAGAGCAGCAGCGTCACCAGCACCTAGAGCAGCAGTCTCAATGCCCGGGTCAGGCGGAACACACAGGTAACAGTCACCCTCAACACTATCAGCAACAGCATACATGGCAGCGAGAATAGCATCAAAGTCAAGATCAAAGATAGCAACCCCCGCCCTAGACAGCTCTCCCCAGCGAGGGATCTCAGAGGCCTCCGGGAACTGGTGACGCCACGCGTCCGTCAGGCGGCCGAAGCAGCGCTGGGTGGAGTGCGGGCCCCCGCACTGCTCACCATCGCGGTTGCTGGTGCGGAGAACGTAGGTGCAGGGACCCGTACCCCCACCGCGTTCACGCGCAGCGTACCACTCACGAAGCTGCTTAGGGGACAGGGTCTCACGACTGCGCTGCTGCTGCTGGCGCGTACATCCACCAGAGCCACTCCTCTGCGCTGAGCTGCGACCAGGTCCACTGCTGCCGCCGCCGCTTCCCCCACCTCCGCTGCCTCCGCCGCCTCCACCACCTCCGCCGCCTCGGCTCCCTCCGCCTCCGCCGCCGCCTCCTCCGCCTCCACTGCTGCCATTGACACCTCCACCCCCGCCACCACTCCCACCACCACCCCCACCCCCTCCACTGCCTCCACCACCACCTCCACCGCCCCCGCCAGCCCCTCCAGCGCCCTTGCCCCCCTTGCCCTTGCCGGTGCGGCGTCTCCTACTAGGGGCAGACGTAGCGCCGACCGAGTCGAAGCCAACGAGGTCGGCCGCAGCAGTAGAAGCAACAGAGGGCAAGAGGGGGGAGGGGGAACACCCCTCAAAGACGGGGGTGCGAGGGTCACCAGGAGAGGCTCCTACAGCGACTATGCTCTTCTTTGCTGCTAGGAGGCCCTTCTCGAGGAGGTCAACGGTGAGAGTGGTGGGGCAAACTGACAGGAAGTGGTCCTTGACTACGCAAAGAGAGTCAGGGAGCCGGGTGACTATGTAGTAGAGGGTGATGTATATGGGGGGGGGGTTCTTGGCGCAGAACTCAGCAGGAAGCGCAGCGCGGTAGCGAGTGTCACTAGTGCGGAGGTGCGTAATGAGGTCAGCGACTGTGGGAAAAGCAGCAAGGTCAGGGAAGAGGTACGGTAGCATGAGGCGGCTCAGTGTAGCAGTGGCAGGGGAAGAGTAGCGTGCAACTACAGCGCCGTACAAGGTCTGAGCACTCTTGTACTGGCTAAAGTGTGCAAGCTTAGTGGTCGGTAAGTGCCGGCGCACAGCAAGGCGAGCAGCAGCATCGCGCGTGGCCCACTGTGAGCGAACAGTGCTGTCAGCAGTGGCAAGCGGGGCAGGAGAGACACCAGAGGTGAGATTGAACACAGAGAGTCCGTCTGCTCTATTGCACTGGAGAAACAGCTGGAGGTCATCGACCCTGACCTCAAAGTCAACGGCACGGCCCTCAGCATCAAAAGTAAGGACACTCGGGGTAGCCATGACTGTAGTGGCCTAGCAGGAAGTGAGCTCACCAGTCCGAGGAAGGAGGGCCGGGGAGTACCGGTAGGAACAGCAGCGGCTCGACAGCAGGGCGGCTCGACGGCTCGGCGGCAGGGCGGCTCGGCTGCTGGGCGGCTCGGCGGCTTGGCGGCAGGGCGGCTCGGCTGCTGGGCGGCTTGGCGACAGGGCGGCTCGGCTGCTGGGCGGCTCGGCGGTAGGGCGGCTCGGCTGCTGGGCTGCTCGGCGACTCGGTCGCTGGGCGGCTGAGCGGTGACAGGGCCGCTAGGGGAGGGCGACGGGGCCGCAGGTGACGGCGACGTGGCCGTAGGTGGCGGCGAGGCCGCTGGTGGTGGCTGCGTGGCCGCAGGTGGCGGCGACGGGGCCGCACGTGGCGGTGACGGGGCCGCAAGGGGCCTAGACGGGGCCGCGGAGGGGCTGTAAGGGGCCGAGACTGGGCCGTAGCGGGGCCGCAAGGGGCCTCGACGGGGCCGCGGAGGGGCCATAAGGGGCCTAGACGGGGCCGTAGCGGGGCCGCAAGGAGCCTAGACGGGGCCGCGGAGGGGCCGTAAGGGGCCTAGACGGGGCTGTAAGGGGCCGGAAAGGGCGTCGCGAGGGGCCGAAAGGGGCCGCGCGAGGGCCGTAAGGGCGACGCGAGGGGCCTTAAGGGGCCGTAAAGGGCCGTAGAGGGCGGCGCGAGGGGCCGTAGAGGGCGGCGCGAGGGGCCGTAAGGGCGGCGCGAGGTGCCGTAAGGGCGGCCAAAGGGGCCGTGAGAGGGGCCACTAAGGGCGGCTCAAAGGTAGGGAGGGCACACAGAGCGCGACTCGGGCAGGAGTGAAGCGCGCTCCGGGCAGGAAAAAAAAAAAAGTATCGTGGTGGGCCCGTTCCCACTAGGGAACGTGCTCGAGACCATGATGAGAAACGAGAATGAATGCATTGAGCATAATGAGGAGTACAAGTGGTAAACCCTAAAGTGTTGTACCCCATATGAACTGCCCCACTACAGCCTACATAGATTTTTAGCATATATGCCTGAAAGCCAACACTGCAAGTCGACGGCATGCCAACGCTGCAGCAAGTTGGCTGCACAGCGTTGCATCCGCAGGACAGTAGCGCACCCAATTCGCAGGTGCTCGTAGATGATTGGCGGGCTGTCTCTTGTTGCCTGCGCACACACCAAATCGTCATCGTGCTGACGACTGCTCCTGATTGGCTACATCAACCTCGGGATACCACATCGAGGTCGGCCTCGCCACTAACACCAGGGCGACCGACGCGTGCCTCCGCAAAACCCGTCGCCCGGGTAACCTGGTCGACCAGGCAACCACCTCGTCTACCAGCACCTCCTTCACGTGTTCGTCGACCACCCAAGTCGACGTTCACCTCCATTCGACCTCGCGAACTCGGCGCCCTCACCCGACGCCATCCAGGTCCTCTGTCCAGGTTGACGTCGGCGCCTCCCTAAGTCAGCATCCACCCTCGTTGACCATTGGGACTCTTCGACCGCCGACTCCCCATCATCGGCGGTGTGGCAATGGCCTCGAGTAGGTCGACCACACCTGTCGTCGAGCACGCCCAAGTCCAAGTCACCCACTGCTGCAGGTCGGCTGCACCTCCCGCACACCCGACCACGAGGTCAGCTCCGCCCAAGCAAGGACGAGGCCAACCACAACTCCCATTGACACTCCCCTGCCGCGTTCACGCTTGGGATCCCCCAGCCCACACGGCAGCCCCATTTGGAGAACAGCTCGTCGACATGCGCCCAACACACAACACGCCAGTCACCGCATCAGCCATGCAAAAGGGCACCTACTGCTACACACCGTCGTTGCCGTCGCCCACGCCGGCCAGGCCCACTTGGCGGATTGCGACGGAGTACCGGTTGAAGGCCGGATAGTGTAGTGCCTACGTTAGGAAGTCGGCTGGCTGCTCAGCGGTCGGGATGTACTTCCGTGACAACTTCCCACGCTTCACCATGTGTTGCAGCCAGGCTTGTCGCCGCTCCATGTGCTTGAGGTTGCGCGTCAACCCCATGTCCTCGGCGACCGTGACGGCCGACTTGTTGTCCACCTGAAGGACAATTGGCGTCCTGGCGTCTAGTTGCGAGAACTCTGCAAGAAGGAAGCGGAGGCGACGTCCCTCCTTCCCGGCTTCGGTTGCCGCTACGTACCCTGGCAGTCCTGCGCCTCCTTGTCGTCGAAGGTGAGCTTGGCGTAGGCGTTGACCGAGACCGGCGTCTCCGGCTTCGTCTGGTCAGCTTCTCGTCGAGGAACCGCCTATGCAGATTATGGGCGTAGCACTGCTGGTGCAGCTACAGCTTCCTTGCTGGCGTGTCGTGCACGATCTCGAGCCCGAGGTACTTCTGCACCGGCGAGATCTCCCGCAGCTCGAAGGCAGCCTCCAGCAACTCTTTCAGCTCCTTCAGCATCGCTGCACTGCTGCTGGCGGCAAGCAGGTCGTCGACGTAGACCAGCACCCAGCAGGCCACGCCATCCCCGCCCACCTTGAAGTAGAGCTCCGAGTCGACCTGGCTCTTCTTCCAGCTAGCGCCCACCAACACACCGTCGTGAGCCCTGTACCACAGCAGCGGCGAGTGCTTCAGCCCGTAGAGGCTCTTCAGCAGCTTGCACAGCCAGCCAGTCCCGTCGTTGAAGTAGTCCAGCTTGTACATGTACAACACCCGGTCGAGCTTGCTCTCCAGGAAGGCGACAATGCTGAGGAAGATCCTCAGCGTGACGTAGCTGCTCACCAGCACGTACGTCTCGTCATAGTCAGCGCCATACACCTGCGTGAAGCCCTTCACGACCAGCCTTGCCTTCTCTTGCTCGACGGTGTTGTCGATGTAGTACTTTATCGTCAGCACCCACCGGTTCTTCATGATGTTCACTCCAGATGAGTGCTTGACCAGCTCCCAGGTTCCCATGCCGATGAGGCTGCAGATTTCCTCCTCCATGGCAGCCTTCACCGCCTTGCCCTTCCAGCTCGCCAATGCCTCCTTCACCGTCATCGTGGAGATGTCCCAGCAGTGCTCGGGGTCGACGTGCATGTCGGGGTCAAGCTCCAGCAGCTCTTCATCCTCCTCGGTGTCGTCGTACAGCAGGACGTCGTTGACCTCGTCGTACACCGTGGTGAAGGCGGCCGGTACGAAGAAATCGGGCAGCCTCCGAATTCGGCATGTACATCGTGGTCCAATTTGGACTTCCACCACGTCGCTTTTAGTGGACTCCTCAGTGCCCGACCGCTCCCCTCCATTGTCACCGGCTTCGCTGCCCTTGTCGTCCTCCTGCACCTCGGTCGGGTTCCCTGCCGATTTCTCCCTTGTGGTCGGCTCCCCTGCCGACTGCCTGGTCACCGACTTCTCCTTGGTCGGCTTTGCCGCCGCCTGCTCCCCTGTTAATTGCCGCCTTGCCGATGCCTCCTTCGCCCGCTTCACCGAAGTCGGCTGCATCTCCTCGGCCTGCTGCTCCCTGGGCGGCGTCAGCTTTGCTCCCACATTGACTTTCGCAGCGTTACGTCGGCCATTGGTGATGCTTTTGGCCGGCGCCACAAGCGACGCCCCACTTCTCCCCTCATCACCATAGGCCGACACCGGAGTCAGGCCACGCAGGTCGGCGACAAGGGGTGGGGACGTCACAAGGGAGGGAAGGTGGACACCCTCAGCGTCCTCAGCAGCTATCTTACCGACCTCGGCAAGTAGAGGGAGCGTCGTCGTTGAGGTGTCCATTGGCGGGTTGACCAGCGTTCACCCCGACGCCGGCCCATGCTCCGCCTTCCACACCTCCAGGGACATGGTTTCGTAGAATACCACGTCCAACGTGGTGACCACCCAGTTGTCCGCAATGCCAAGGAGCTCCCAGCCCTTGCTTTCCTCCGACACTCCAAGATGAAGACCCCACCGGACCTTCGGTTGTAGCTTTCTGCCGCGTTGCTGCTCGGGGACCAGGAACTGCGCCATGCAGCCCAACACGCGTGCCAGCGACAAGTCGGGCTTCTTCCCGGTCAGCAGCTGGTACGACGTCGTCCCCGGCGGCAACGCTGACCTCTCAAGGCAGTTGCGGACTCAAGGTGGACACCCTCACCGTCCTCAGCAGCAATCTCACCGACCTCGGCGAGCAGAGGGAGCGTCGCTGTCGAGGTGTCCGCCGGCGGGTTGGCATGCGTCCGCCCCGACGGTGGCCCATGCTACGACTTCCACACCTCCAACGACATGGTCTCGTAGAACACCACGTCCGTCGTGGTGACCACCCTGTTGTCGGCAATGTCAAGGAGGTCCCAGCCCTTGCTCTCCTCTGACACGCCGAGGTGAAGGCCCCACCGGGCCTTTGGCTTCAGCTTTCCACCACGCTGCTGCTCGGGGACAAGGAATTGCACCATGCAGCCCAACACATGTGCCAGTGTCAAGTCAGGCTTCTTCCTAGTCAGTAGCTGGTACGGCGTCGTCCCCGGCGGTAGCGCCGACCTCTCAAGGCAGTTGCGGACCCAGACGGCCGGCCGCAGAGCAAGGTGCCACTAGTGGTGCTGCACGCCTATGTGCAGCAGCATCGTCCGCACCGATGCCACCACCGTCCTCATCTCCCACTCCGCCATGCCGTTCTGCTGTGGTGTGTACAGGCAGGTCAGGTCGTGGACGATCCCCTTGCCGTCCACGAAGGCGGTTAACTGCTTCCCGAGGAACTCTCCTCCCCGGTCCGAGCGCAGATCAGCACCGACTTCTTCACCTGCCGCTCAACCATCGCCAGCCATTGCACGAACTCCTACATCACGTCCGACTTCTTGGCGATAGGCCTCACCCACATGTAGCGGGTCTTGCAGTCCTTCAGCAGCAAGAAGTACAAGCTGCCTTCCTTGGCAGCCATATGGAACGGCCCACACAGGTCGATGTGTACGACGGCCAGCACGTCGTCGGCGTCGCAGCCCTTGTCGGGGAAGGTGTGCCGTGCCAGCTTCCCACCGACGCAAGAGACACACGGCAAGTTGGCGCCGGACGCCGACTTGAGGTCCAG